TAAAGCCATAACCGAACTATCATCAGATTCGTTGGATTCTTCTTCGGACTCTTCCGTGGTTAGTTCTTCCTGTTCTGTTTCGATATTTAGATAAGTCCTCTGTATGTTTCGAGGAGTAGATGGTCGTTGATTGTAATTTTGTCGATTATTTTGATTATAGTTCCTTCTTTCTGTTGGTCTATACGTTTGGTTAATTGGAGTATTTCGGAATGTTTGGTTGTTTCGGTTATCTCGTTGATCTTGCCTAATTGGCAGTCTTGGATCTCGATATAACACGAATGGTTGTTGGTTATTTCGCGATGTTGAATATGAATTAAATCGACCATTCTGATTGGTTGTTCGTTCTCTTCTTTGATCGAATAACCTATTTCGACATTCACGGATTAGGTGGCCTCTCTTTCCGCAATAATGGCATTTCATTTCTTCCTTCGTCTGATCTTTTTCTCGTCTCGCTTCCCGTTGTTCGGCTATCAATGTTTGGATGGTCTTCTCCAAACGTCTTATCCGTTGTCCATCGGCATTTTTCGTTTCTCCGTTCAATACAGCATTTATGCTAGTGGAGAATTCGTTATAAGTAAGCATTGTCTCTGCTTCTTTTGCTTTTTTATAAGCTTCAGCTAGCGTTTTAATTCTCGGGCTAAAAACCTTTTTCTGAAGTTTTTTATCTAGGCCTCGAATAAATAGATCAGCTTTTTGCTTGATGGTATAGTACTTATTTTTCGGGTCGGCTCGTCGTAATAATTTTGTGAACTTGCCGTAATACTGGGCAACACTTTCGCTTTCCTCTTTTCTTAATGTCGCGATCTTTGTGTGTAATTTGGCTGTAGTGGCCGTATCGGAGAATTGTTTAGCGAAAGCCTTAATAAATTCATCTACATCTGTCTTCTTTTTATTTGACAGTCCTTGATACCAGTCTGCTGCGATATCTTTCAATGCGATTGGTATTTGGCGTAAGGCTGTTGCTCTATCCCAACCATTTGCTTTGCTGACCTTAATTAGGTCATTAAGCCATTCAATCGGATCTTCATCGTCGTCGTCCCCTCGAAACATTGGAATCTTGTGTTCTTTAACGATATGGGTGGCGTTGGTGGGTGTTATTTTTGGGAATTCAGGTAATGCAGATTTTTCTGGTTCTTCGTCAGATTCAGAACTAGAATCGGAGCTTGAGTCAGATCCATCTGGTTGTCCTCCTGATCCTTTATTTTTCTTTGACGAAGAGTTTTTCTTTTTATTCCCTTTTTTAATTTTCTTACCATCGTCTTTTGAGGGTGCCCGAGGATACGATGGTATTTGAGTATTTGATAGTGGTTGAGGACGCAATGGTGATAGGGGACGTAATGGTGATAGAGGACGTAATGGTGGTTGTTTTCCGCTGTTTTCTGTTGGTGGTATTGTACTAAAATTGTTTCGGTGTAGGGTTCTGCTGGTGTTACCATTTTCTGGTATT